ACATATCTTTCCTTATAATTTACAAGAGTAGAAATTATTCCTAATAAAATAAATTTTCGACAATTCAATTCACATTTGAATATTTGTTTTTCGGAAAATTAAATATTCGAAATTACGAAATTTGTATAGATGCAGGAGAAACTTATATAATAAACTTGATTTCCAAGAAGAGTTTTTTTTTCAATGAAATAATGTGCATTTCGCGTAACAATGGTGCAAAAGGTAAAAAGGACGGCACGTGCCCGCATTTACTTTAACTAAAGTTTATAGAGTGTAGAAGGAATGTGTATATCCGGATTGAAACTAAGTGCACACGCGCACGAAAACGTATGTGATCGCGCACAAGTCGGTGCAATAAAATGCTAAAAAAGAAGCAACTGCATTTTGTACGCGAAGGCATATTTTTAATTGAAATAATTGCTGCCATTATGAACTAAATCGTACTTTGAGCAATTAGTGTGCTTATTTTACTGTACGATATTAAAAGAAACATGTACATAAATTCGCACATATAAATAAATACAGGTGGACCAAAAAAAAAACCTTTTTCATATACCATTTGTGAAAATCACAAAAATGGCATCAATAAAAAGCTCCATAATTTCCCCTCAGCTATATATATACGACATTGCATAATTTGACAATATCTTGTGTGGCATATAATTTCCGTTAATTAACCAATCTCTCAGATAAATGACTCATTTCTTTTTGTATAGAACTAATTTACAGTAGTATCCACTGGATCATTTAACTTAATTATTTCTCTTTTATAATGAAAAACATAGTCTTCGAATAGTAATTCCAGTTTAATGAATAGTAATTGCATTATTCTGAATATTTAAAAATTTTCCCCCTTTTACAAATACACAGTTCAATTATCATGCCGTTGAAGTTTTTAAAAATCGAATTAACTTGAAATAATACACTGGAAAAAAAATCATTTGATTCAAATAATCGGTTACTTGACTATTATCAAATAAAAATTTTAAATAATTATTATTTAAGTCAATTAATTTATATTTGTTTTAAAAATTGGTCCAAATATAATTTATTTCATTCAAGTAAATATTTATTTGATAATAGAGATTATATGAATCAAATAAATTTTTTTTGAATGGAAATTCTGCTATATAAAGAAAATTTCTGCTACATATGGAAATTCAATTTAATAAAAATTTACTTAATTCAAATTTACATAAAAATTCTATACATACGGAATTTGTTTTACAGAAGATATCTATCATAAAATTCGATCTACTGGAAAATAGGAATAATAAATATTGAAGAATATTCAAATTTTAAATTTTCTTATTTTTCTTCTCTCTATGGATTCGAAACATTTCTCGAAATTAGAATAATAATCAAATATTCCATAATGATGAAATTATTTAAAATTTGATAAAGCAAACATCCTATAGTAATTTGTAGCTGCTCCCTTTAATCATGAATCATTAGCTGTTATGAACCATGTACTAGTAGTTTAATGAATCCATTTACAAGATTTATCATAGCTAAAATACAGGTTATCACTAATACCAGTTTTCCGTCGTCTATGCGAAAAGAAAACTAAAAAGAGAAGCAAAAAAAAGAAGAAGAAGAAGAAGAAGAAGAAGAAGAAGAAGAAGAAGAAGAAGAAAAAAAAAGGGAGTGCTTCATATCAATGAGCGAGCAAAACCGTTTTTTTATGGTGCGTATCAGAGAGGCCTGGAATGTCGAGACAGCTGCGAGACATAATGATTGTGTGCGGCAAGTTGCACTTTCGATGAGTTTAATCGATTACGATGCTTACGCGATCGATGTATTGGAAACGTAATCATTACACATGTTCGTAAACGCGCTCGCATATACACGTTTCCACTTTGTGATGTTGATCAGAGCCAGTTCACACTTCTCCACACACATACACACACATATAAGATACAAACATTAAATCGAGAAAAAGTTCTAAAAAGATGCACGTGAAATTTTTTTCTCTCTCTTTTCATAAATCCTATTATAATTTCAAAAAATCACTTTCGAAGAAAAATAAATTTACACGTTTGCAAATGCTGCCACACTTGAAAAAAATAAGTACACCCAGAGAAATGATATATTTGTCTTAGAGCCAAATAAATATTTATTTGTTGCAAATAAATTTTTATTTGTTGCAAATAAATTTTTATTTGATTTAAATAAAAAAAAATAGGAATCAAAAAAAGTAAATTTTAAATTGAAATGCACTCTACTTGCAAAATTATCTAAAGGGTTAGTGTGACATTTCCTCAATGCTAATTCGCCTATATTTAACAAATGTAACGATTTGTTTTTTTCCCTGTTGTTGCGCGTTTCTTCCGGTGTCAATTAAAAAAAAAAAAAAAGTTAATCGACAGCGCGATACAATTGGACCTTTGTTTTTTTCTCGATGATCTCACTTAGTGTCGCATGCATATAGGTACTACTCGGTGGGTTATCAGAAAGGAGATTAAGAAACGAGTAGTAGATCCATCGAACCGTTAATTCGTTCGGGTAGCAACATGCTTACATCGCCTGCAGGTGCGAGAACACATTGGGAAATGCAAATAAGCGTAATAACGGGTATCCTATCGGCAAAATATATCTACCTCGAGGGTCGATGGTCTACTATATACCTTCAACTTTAATATAAGATATGTTATCATACTTTCGTATATTTTCGAAGTCGTCAATGCACTCGAGTCTCCCGAGTGTCTGATGCATATATATACCATAACATTTCAGTTTCATATATATATACACTATAGATACATATAGGTACACGAAAAATACTTAATGCAAAACAAATGTTTTTTTTCTTATCTTTTCAAAATATATATTTTCGTTGCAGAATAATTAGTAAATAATCTCATTAATTCTATCTAAATTAGCTTAATTTTGAAAAATTTTTTAATTAGAATTGCGAAAACAATTTGGGAAGATAAAGGAAGTAGATTATAATAAAGAAGTTTATAAATATATAAAAAAAAATTTTATAAAATGATTTCACTGTCCGACAATAATGATTCATCGCACAATGTGGATCAATTAATCATACACCACTTCCAAGATTGTAATTAAATCACCTGACAGCCTACGTTAATAATTTTCTAATCAAAATTATTTTTCAAAAAGTTGTTCAAAAAAAAAAATTATTCTGAATTGTTGATTCCAGTGCACATTATAATTATTATATTATAGAATTATTTTAATGGAGATTAAAAATATCGACAACGAAATAAAGGATTAATTGCAGAAATCCCATTGTATAGGGGCACACAGAGTTCGAAGAATAGAAACATGAGAGAGAGAAAGAAAGATCAGTTATCAGGAATCAGGACCAGTATGGGGACCGAGACACCTCTTGGGTTCACACCCGGTTTCCAAGTCTCCACAAGTTTTGCCTTCATCTTCTTCGTGATGGTTTTCTTGCCCACCTTTATACACACCCATACAGCTATCCTCTGCGATCCAAAAGAGTGGAAGCCAGGCAATCCTCGTGTCTCGCTTCGTAAAAGAATTGGTGTACCCTGCCGTGGTTCTAATTAATTTACATAGCAGAGCACACAGAACGAATGAGGGAGAGAGAGGAGACTCTCATGGAAAGAGGAAGCTTCGAAGATAGTGGCGATCGGTTGGCTAGATGACCAAAGACGAACCAAACGATTCAAGTGTCGATCCCTGACCACGAGCATGCCTTAAAACCGTTGATATCTCTTGAAGCTAAATCTCTCGCTTTGAATCAGAAGTGAGAACACTCGGCTACCACGTATACCATTCCTATATCTCGAGTCATTTAAAAAGAGGCTAAAGACCTGAAAAAATTAATGATTTTATACTTTTATACTCCTATATTAATTAAAATGAATTCCTTTTGCAAAAGAAATTGACGATCATTAATACAGACAGATGCGGTTTAGAATTTCTTAACAGAGCTTCAAATTTCCGAACAAGATCATTAGGATGTTTATAAATTTTTGAAGATGATCACTGAAATGGAATAAAATGTAAATGGGTAGGCGGAATAGAACTTCTTCAGGGGCTAAAGCAAAGAAGAGGAGAAGAAGAAGAAGAAGGTGAAGGGTCCGCCGTGTAAAGAAGGCGGCAAGTGTATCGGAGCATCGGACGACAGAGCTTTATACAGCGCCTGGGAGTCTGGTCGAAAGATCCGAGCTCCGACAATGAATACCTACCTATTAAAGTGGTGTGAACAATACAAGAGTCTGCTACTAGTCCTACAACCCTACAACCTTTACAAACACATGTAAGGAATCATTTTATAGACATCACACACACATATATATATATATACCCACGCGCTTGCCACGAGAAGACCCGTGCTTCTCGTACCCATTCTTGGGACCTGCTTCTAACCGTGATATACTGCAAGATGAACGATATGTGTGTGCAGTGTGCTATGCTTTTTTGCGGCTCTTCGCCTACTCGTTTCGACTAACTTGCATATCATTTCGCCACCGATTTCTTCTATCATCTTTTAGTTATCGTTTTCTACGTCAATTTAATTCGCATTGCAATTTAGTATTTAGTTCATTTCAATTATAAATTCCGCTGACATCATATCAAATCAACATTTATCTTTCCAGATGATTAGAGTTTTCGAAAAAGGCACCGTTTTTTGAAGGAGCTTTAGCAATTCGCAAAAATAACATTTCAATTAGATCGATACAAAGAAAAAAAGATGAGCGGGGTTGCGGTATTGTTTCCAAATGGTATATATTGTTTTGTAAAAGAGGTAACGAGTGACTCGCGTGTTTCGTATAAAACTCATGAAAACTAATAATCTCTTTATTCCCCCGACAAAACTATTAATGAATTTCCAATAGAATTTTCACAAAGAAACGCGGTATTTTTGAAACTCTATCATCGCATCCAAATGGCTGCTCTAAAAGAAAAACACTTTCTCATTATGATGAGAATATGTTCTTTTGTGGAAAAAAATATAATTTTTTACCCATGTGGATTTTCTAAAAGTAAAAATGTAATCTTACCTTGGAAGTAACTTTTGGTACGTAGATAACTAACACTGAGCCTAAGGATGCTGAGCCGATCCAACTTGCTAAGTATGTTCTGCTCAAAGGGAAGTAAGGAAGCTAAAGTATCAAGTTCAGCGTTGAGACGTTCACGATGCCTCTTGCTTGGATTCGATTTTGTGACTCCATCCTTCTGAGGTGGCTTCAAACTGAAACAAATCAAAATTTCATCAATTAAATATAAAAGTATCAAAATCATTAAATTTTAATTAAATTTTTAATTAAATTTTCAATACAATTTTCAATAAAAATTAAAAGAAAATTTTAATGCTAAAATTATCTATGCAGACTTATTCTCGTCATTTAAAAAAAAGTCTTGATAGACTTCAGGACAGGTTTTCGTTTCTTAACGCGACGCGTGACCCTTTTTCATTCTCGCCTTTGCTTTGGAATAATTAGCTTTGTTTTGCACGAATATATATATAGCGAGAGAGCGGCCGAGACATAAGAAACAAAGCCGCGCTCACGTCGTCCTAATGGCGTCCGAATAACCAGTCCAGTTTCAAACAACATAACGTTCCAAAGTCCAATCCGGAACGAACCTCCGCCCTCGGGAACCTCGTCGCTGGTAATGGATTTTGTGTCATCTGATAATTAATAGAGTTCTCCTGACGCTGCTGGGCGGCGATACACAACCTCATTCATCACGCTTTCTAACCCCTAAGCATTTTAATTAAAACCACTATTTTTACAGCCTTATTCCAACCCGGCTTTGCACTTCCTTCCTGAATGCCGCGCGTATTCCATCTCTAATCTCCTAGAAGTTATTACATCCTTCTGCGCGACAATTCTTTATGAAAGATTATTTTCTTCTTCTATTTTGTTATCTTTTGCAGCTCTTTTTGCAAAAAATCCATTATGTTAGCATTTTTGGTTCTATCGTAACTGATAATAATTTTTTTAGTGGAGATTCGAATGAATTTTTTCTCAGAAAGAGATTCCATTTCAAAGAAATAAGGCTTTTGTAGAATAGGGGTCATCGAGGTTGACTCCATCTTTTTTTTTGTTTTATTAGTGACCTCTCGAAAGGGGTTGAATAAAAGAAAGAAGAAAAGTATTCAATTGTTGGAAAAAAGTATTTGGCTGCAAAGGGGGTGGTAGTATATACGGAAACAAGTATACGAGGTAGAGATGAAAACAGGAAGAAAGGCAATGCATATTAATAAGGCAACACGGTGCGTATCGATCGCAGTCAGGACTCGGTGGTTTGGAGTCAAGCATGGTCGGATGCGCGCGATCGACCGGTACATATATATATACACAACCAACAAAGTTCTCATATATATCCTACCAACTCTTTACCATAAAACGACTTCGTTATAGTTATCAACTTGAGCTCGTGCCAAACATCAAATTTCAAGGTTTTCTTATAATACCAACCTATAATCTATTCCAGACACGTGTTTTAATTAAAATTTATTGAGAATTTCGAAAAGTAGTTAAATAATTTTAAAAACCTCATGTAATATTTATATTTTCCAAGGAAGAATCCTAGAGAACAAAACCTAAATTTAGAAAAATTGAGCGAATCAAAAAAATTTAGTTTCATTGTCTAATACATAATTTTTTTTTTAAATAATAAAACTAGAGAAGTAAGTCAATAATGAAGATACAAGACTTGAAGTGATCGTAAGCATTAGAAGGGAACGTGTAACCGCGTGTCAGTAATTCATTAATAAATTCACAAATATCTCATGCACTATGACTTTACAACCTACATACCTACTCATGCAATTTCACACATGGCGTGCAAACGTGCGCCTGCAAGTATATATATATATATATATATATATATATATATATATACGAATTATAAGAAAGCTCATATTAAATATCGAGATTAGTGTTGTAAAGATCCATGTTAACTGGACCGTACCAAAGATAAAAATATACTTGAATTCCAAATTTATTTTGCATTTCCTTAAGATATATAGAATAATAGAAGAATATATATTTTGAAAAAGAATTATTCCAAGATTTCAATAATTTTTACTAAATGAAAAATATTTGGAATTAACGAAACTTTTGTTGCCAATAAATATTATTTTTTCTTTGTGAAGAGGGTAAAATTTTTTTTGAAAATTTATGATCGATCAGAAAGTCCAGGTGACAAGGTAGAATTTTCCTCAGTACTGGCTTATTATTACTATATACACCTTTAACAAAAGCAACTTTTGCCCTCGCATTAGGCAGGTCGCGCATACATATAGATACCAATCGAGTCCACGAAGCGTGAACACGCACTCGAGGGTGGTTTTCATTCTAAATCAAACGATTCTGACATGTTACTCATAAGTTTTAAATTGAAAATGATATCAAACAACACATTTTCTTTTATATATACACTGAGAAAAATATACTATTGAATCAAACTTCTATATAAAAATTAATTAATCAAAAGCAATAGAATTTATATATAATATTTTACAAATTCTTTTTAGCATATGCTTTTGAGTCAATATAATTTGTATTCCTTTGGCAGAAATGCTGTTGATTCAATAGTACATTTTTTTCAGTGTATAATTTCAAACTAATCTCAATTTCAGAAAATTTAATCATTTTGAGCTTTAATTTACAAAAATTCTTAAGAATTTTTTAATTCAGCACTTTAAAACCTGTTGACAATTATAAAAAGCTCTTCAAAAAAAAAAAATAATAAAAGCTTCCTTAAAATTTTTTAATAATGTGAAAATAAACAATAAAATTTGTTTCTTCGCTTAAAGTAAGTTTTTCTTTTTTTAAACAAGAATTATCAATATAGTCCAACTGCATGGAGTAAAGAGGCTGTTATCAAATAGCATCCGCCATTTTGTATTTTATAGCAGAGTTAAGGTCTCCCTCTAGTATCGTTAGTGACTGTATATATATATATATATATATATATATATATGTATACGTTTTATGCTCTCCCGCGATTGTATAGGTATATATAACCGTTGTGGGTGGGTGGACGAAATGGTTGAAACAAGGGGGGCCGCGCAAGCGCCATCGAGGGTGGGTCCACTATGGATTTTCGAGAGCAGATAACTATAGTCAGTTCCGGGGTGCTGAACGTCGGAAGGAATATGGCAGACTACATACATTTTTAGGGACTCGAAACCATAATATAATGATAGAAATTCTAGGACCCTCGTTATAATCGAAAATTTATATTCCTGCGGTCTTTTCACTCTTCATATAATAAAAGATAGCCCATTAGAATTTCCAAGTAGTACTTTATCATTTTTATTAGGCCTTTTTAATTAGCTCAGAATTTTTAGGTTTCATTGTTTTTAATTACTTGTGAGATATATATTTAATCAAATTACACATAAAATATGTTAAATTATAATTAATATATTAAATTTAATATTTAAAATAGAGAATTAAATTCAAAAATAAATAGAAAATTTTTGATATTTTTTGAAAATAATAATAATAATAATAAATGAAACTATATTTATGGTAATTTTCGAATATATAAAGTAACAATTTGGATTTCTGAAATTCGTGACATACGCGAGGGTTTCGGTTGGTTGAAGAAACGCTATTAGTTTCAAATCGAAGACTAGCAATTTACGAGCCTCGAATTTGAACCATAGCCATATGGTCAATTCTTTGGCACAGGATGCAATATTACAGACACACGAATTGGCTTTATATTCACTGACAAATTTCATCAAGTGAAGTATACTTATACTAAGTACATTTCCGGCTGCTACCTCTTTCTCTTTTTTCGTTTTCACCATATTTTTTTACAAGGTTAAATACTTCTGTAACTCGTGTATTTCGCACAAATTTGGTTCTTGTAATAAAATTTTTATTTAATCTTTTCAATACAGTTTCTTTAATCAAAAATCAATTTTTTATTCTCAAAAGTGGGACATAGTAGGCAAAATTTGCAAAAAGTGATTTGTATGAGAAAAAAAGTATTGTCATAGAATGTGAATATAATTCAAAAAATAAAGACAGATGTTTCTTGAGACTGTCATTTTTGGCGACTTGATTTTCTTTTGATGAATGTTAAAAAAAAGTAGTCGAAAAAAGAGAAAGAAGAGGAAAGATATCGTAGCGCCGTATGGCGTAACGGTAGATCGAATTAAAGTGAGATTAGGATAGGGATCTTTGGAATGCCATGGGCCTGGCTAGAAGCTCACTTAAAAAGTCGTTAACGGATATCGAAGAAGCTAAGAACTCCACGCCTGACCCTGGTCAACTGGATGGCGTGCGAGTTTTCGATCTTTGATTTCAAACAAGTTCACGAATCACACAAAACACTTTGGTTTTTACCTTTATAATTATTTTTACACGTTTATCGATATACCACAATTACTAATCTTGTATAAAAAAAAATGTATTTTGCTAGATCCATAAGAAACGATTATTATTATTTTTTGATAAAATTGAAATATTAAAAACAATATGAGGGATTTAAATGAGCCCTAGGAAATTCGAATTAATCACAAAATATTTCAAAGAATTACAAAAAGAAAAGATGAGAAGAAAAAAATCATTTTGAATAATCGCGGTGTTCTTACTTTGTAAGACATCGGAATTCATTCACAGAAGCGTCAGCTGGTATATTCATCTATGAAGTATATTGCATGTACACAGATCATTAATAAAAAATCAAAGTTGCATGTCTAGCGACGTAAACTTGAAACGAAATTAATTGCGGACTTTTAGGCACATAACACGCATTCGTCAATTGTGTAAACTCTTAATTTCAATATGTTTTGTTGTTCGTATTAAAATTTTTGATTAATTCTCCATATAATATATAGATATAACATATTTTATCAAAGTAGGTGGACATATATACATTACATTAAAATTCACGTTAATATTCCCCATATTTTGATGTATAATTTAGTAATCAATTTTATATTCTATACCAACTAATCGCACATGCATACTTAAACAATTCTGTGAAAGTATATATATAGCGATTACCTTATATTTTACCATGTAAAGCCTTGAGTATATATGAAAAGTGATGGAAATGGTTCTGTAATGTTGACTAACTTGTCACAATTTGTCGACGCTTGGTGTTAATTAATATATTCTATATGGGTCGCATTCACTCCAAAAGATCGAGATCATTATTCTAATTATCACACGTTTCCATATAAGAGATATTGAATATTCTTTGCATCATTTGAGCAAATCT